GAGAGAGAGAGAGAGAGAGAGAGAGAGAGAGACTCTAGATGTTCCACTTACAAACTCCAGGAAGGCTCCAAGCTGCAGCTCTCTCGCCAAGTGGCTGTATTGGGCCACAGGCCCCTCAGGGATGTCCAGATTATATTCATGTGGCCTGAAGCGGAGGAAAGCCTGGTCCCAGACAAAGAGAGACATCTGATCACAGCTCCTATCAACCCATGAATTGCACCACACCATACTCTTCAAAAGGACTGTCCAGTCTCTCTGCACAGCTACAGAAGTACACACGACACATGTCACCCCCACACAACCTGCACAACTAGAAAGCTCTTCCTAACTGAGCCCAAATCCTTCTCCCTATTCCAGAGTTTCCTGAACCTCCGTGCTTGCCTAGCACCTTTGTGGTCTTGACATATCTCTGTCGCACACGATCTACTAATATACAAGTCAACTAACAGTTCCTATTTAAATTTTTTAAAAAATAAACCTTTATTATTCATATGGGTGTTATTGTTGTCGTGTGCTGTTGAGACAAATAAAACTCACAGCAATCCTGTATGACAGAGTAGAAATATCTGATAGCATTTCCCACATTGTAATCTTCATGGTAATGAATCACCCAGAGCTGCTGGGTAGCTTCAAACCACTAACACTTCTCTGTCTCTCTCTCTGTCTCACTCTTTCTCTTCCCCTCCTTTCCTTTTCCTTCTCTATATGTAGATTTCACCTGATGGTATGCACAGGAATCAGATAGACTACGTCTGTAGAAGAAATGATTGGAGAACTTCAGTATCAGCAGTGAAAATGAGGCCACCATCAACTACTCATATGCAAGTTCAAATTAAAGCTATAGAAGGTAAAATCAAATCCACAGGAATCAAAATTTGACCTTGACGCTATCCCACCTGAATTCAAAAACCAAATTAGGAACAGGTTTGAGGCCTTGAGCACTAGTGAATGAAGACCAGATGAGCTGTGGGGAGGATATCAAGAATATCATCCATGAAGAATGCAAAAGGTCATTACAAAGACAGAGGAAGAAGAAAAGACCAAAATGGATGCCAAGAAATCTGGAGGACAATTACCTGGCCAACTGACTGAAGAGATCCATATTTATTCCCATTCCAAAAAAAAGGTGATCCTACAGAGTGTAGTATTATCTTACAATATCACTTGCAAGCAAAATCCTGCTGAAGATTATTCAGAAACAACTGGAACAGTACATTGACAGAGAACTCCAAGAAATACAAGCTGGGTTTTTTAAGAGGCCATGGCACTAGAGACACTATTGCCAATGTCAGATAGATCTTGGTAGAACACAAAGAGTATCAGAGTAATACTCATCTGTGTTTCATTTACTATGTAAAGGAATTGGACTGTGTGGATCACAACAAACTGCGGCTGACTCTGAGAAGAATACAAATCCCAGAACACTTGATTGTGCTTATGCAAAACCTATACTTGGAACAGGAATCAATGCTCAGAACAGAGCAGGGAAACACTGCATGGTTCAAAATCAGGAAGGCAGTGGGTCTGGGCTGCATCCTGTCTCCAAATCTTTTCAATCTATATGCAGAACAGATCATTTGGAAGGCTGGGATTGCAGAACAGATCATTTGGAAGGCTGGGATTTAGGAGGAAGAAAGTGGCATCAGGATTGGAGGAAGACTCATCAACAACCTACATTATGCAGATGACACAACCTTGCTTGCTGAAATAAGGAGGACCTGAAGTGTTTGCTGCAGAAGATCAAGGACTGAAGCTCAACATCAAGAAGACAAAGATTCTCACCACTGGGCCAACTGGCAACACAAAGATGGATGGGAGAAGAGATTGGGGTTGTTAACAGTTTGCTCAGTTCCACAATCAACACTCTTGGCACCAGCAGTCAGGAAATCAAAAGATGAATTCAATTAGGTAAATCTGCTGTCAGGGACCTTTCCAGAATACTGAGAAACAATGATGTCAGTCTAGAGACTAGGGTGCACCTGACTCAGCCCACGATCTTCTCAATTACTAGCTATGCTTCAGAGAGCTGCACAATGACTAAGGATGACAGAAAAATTGTTGCCTGCGAGTTGTGGTGCTGGAGAAAAGTTCTGAACATACCATGGACTGCCAAGAAAACAATAGGTCTGTCTTGGAGAGAGTGAAACCAAGTTTCTCTCTGAGGCTAAGATTTTGAAGCTTTCTCTTACATATTTTGGGCATGTCACCAGGAGGGACTGATCCTTGGAGAAGGACATGACGCTCAGAAGGGCGGAAGGACAGCACAGAATAGGAAGACTCTGGATGAGATGATTGATACAGTATTTAGGACAATGGGGATAGGTGTGTCAAAGTCAGTGAGACTGGCTCAGGACAGAGCAGGCTTCAGAGCTCTTGCATGTAGGGTTGCTATGAGTAATAAGCAACTCAACAGCACATAACAACAAAAACATACATGTTGTTGTTGTTATGTGTCGTCGAGTCGCTTGCGACTCATAGCGACCCTATGTACAACAGCCCTAAACTCCACTCTGTCCTGTGCCAATCGCACTGTCTCTGACACTCCCATCCCAATTATCCCAGTCACTGAATCAATCCACCTCATAGAGGGTCTTCCCCTCCTGCGCCGTCCCTCCACCCTCCCAAGCATGATGTTCTTCTCCAAGGACAGGTCTCTCCTCACAACATGTCCGAAGTATGTTAGACGGAGCCTCAGAATCCTTGCCTCTAAGGAGCCACCTGGTTTAACCCTGTTCAGGACAAATCTGTTTGTTTTCCTAGCAGTCCATGGTATTCTCAATACTCTTCTCCAGCACCACAGCTCAAAGGCATCAATTCTCCTTCTATCCTCCTTGGTCACTGTCCAACTCTCTGATGCATAACAAGTGATTGCGAAGACCATGGCCTGTATCAGATGCACCTTAGTCTCCAGAGAGACACCATTGCTCTTCAGTACTTTGGAGAGGTCCCTAACAGCAGACTTTCCCATGGCAATGCGCCTTTTAATTTCCTGGCTGCTGGTGCCAAGAGTGTTGACTGTGGAGCCAAACAAACTAAAGCTATGTACAATCACAATCTCTTCATCATCCATCCTGATGCTGCCAATTGGTCCAGTGGTGAGAATCTTTGTCTTCTTGACATTGAGCCTCAATCCATATTGGAGGCTGCAGTCATTGACCCTCTGCAGCAGGTGCTTCAGGTCCTCTTCCGTATCAGCAAGCAGGTACTAGCAGTCAAGAAATAAGGAGACACAGTGCACTGGGAAAATCTGCATTTAGGGACCTCTCCAAATTACTGAGGAGTAATGATGTCAGTTTGAGGACTAAGGTGCATCTGATTCAGGCCATAGTAAAACATACATAGATTAAAACATACATAGATTATTCAAACATAACAAAATCTTGTTCGCTAAAAGTGAGGAGAACTTGTAGCACTTGTTGCAGAAGATTAAGGAATGCAGCCTTTGGTATGGACTGCATCTCAATGTCAAGAAAACAAAGATTCTTACCACTGGACCAACAGGTAGTGTCATGATGGATGGAGAGAAGACTGGAACTGTCAACAACTTCATCTGTCTTGTATCCACAATTAACACCTCTGGTACTAGCAGTCAAGAAATAAGGAGACACAGTGCACTGGGAAAATCTGCAATTAGGGACCTCTCCAAATTACTGAGGAGTAATGATGTTAGTTTGAGGACTAAGGGGCATCTGATTCAGGCCATAGTCTTTCTGGTTTCTTGCTATGCATCTGAGACCTGAACAATGAATAAGGATGACAGAAAAAGAATTGAAGCCTTTGAGCTGTGGTGTCAGAGAAGAGCACTGAACATCTCATGGAAGGCCAAGAGAACAAACAGATATGTCTTGGAGAGGAGCAGCCAGAGTGCCCTTTGGAGGCAAGAATGATGAAACTTCACCTCACACACTTTAGGCACATTGCTAGGAAGGATATTCCTTGGAAAAGGACATGATGCTTGGAAGGGCAGCAAATACCATGTTATAAAGTGGTTGTGGTGACTGTTGTTATGTGACATCAAGTTGCTTGCCACTCATAGTGACCCTATGTACAACAGGTCTGAA